AATCATTTTATTAGGGGCTCATACAACTCTTATCACAATCCATACATACATCAATTGTGTAAAGCACATTTGTACATTCATTGCCCTCATCATTCTCAAAGCATTTGCTCTCCACATAAGCCCCTGGCAACAGCTCTTCCAATTTTTCCCCCTCCCTCCCCGCTCCCCCCTCCCTCGTGAAGCCTTGATAACTTATAAATTATTTTGTCATATCTTACACTGTCCGACGTCTCCCTTCACCCACTTTTCTGTTGTCTGTCCCCCAGGGAGGAGATTATATGTAGATCCTTGTAATAGGTTCCCCCCTTTACGCCACCCTCCCTCCTCCTTCCCAGTATCCCCGCTGTCACCATTGATCCTGAAGGGATCATCCGTCCTGGATTCCGTTTCCAGTCCCTATCTGTACCAGTGTGCATCTTCTGGTCTAGCCAGATTTGTAAGGTAGAATTGGGATCATGATAGTGGGGGGGTAGGTGTGGGGAGGAAGCATTTAGGAACTAGAGGAAAGTTGTATGTTTCATCGTTGCTACACTGCACCCTGACTGGCTTGTCTTCTCCCCGTGACCCTTTCGGAAGGGGATGGAAAGGACAGAGATTTAATGACTTACGAGAGGTGAAGAAAAAAAAAATGAGGGAGGTGCTGTCAGCCATCTAAACAAATGAGTTTGAAAAAATGTTTCCAAGAATAGAATCACAGATTTGCCAAATGTATTAAGTGTAATGGAGAGTATTTTGAAGGTAAGAAAGAAGGTTTTGTAAAAAAAATTATAAATACATAGCTTTGGGGCGGTTCTCTTTTTTTGGGGGGCACCCCTCATTTGGTACTTTCAACACATATCATCAGGATGGTCACTTGATGTATAATCAACAGGTAGATTTAATGGTCCACTAGATAAAAGTTGCTATGAGTTAGAATTGACTTCGGTGGCAGCGAGTTTGTATTTTTTGGTTTAGACAGATGAAAGGGGGAGATGAAAAGAGGAAGGTGTCAAGAATGGCATGGGTTAAAAAAAGAAAAAGAATGGCATGGGTTTCTGATATAAGTAATCTTGTAGATCAGTGGGTCTCAACCTTCCTAATGCCGTCACCCTTTAATACAGTTCCTCATGTTGTGGTGACCCCCAACCATAAATTATTTTCATTGCTACTTCATAACTGCAATTTTGCTATTGTTAAGAATCTGGCGACCCCTGTGAAAGGGTTGTTCAACCCCCAAAGGGGTCGCAACCCACAGGTTGAGAATTTTTGCCTTAAAGAAAAATGTGGGTTAAGAATCACTGGGTACTGGTTATTTATTTATTTTTTTTCAGTAGCCAAGCTTTTAACCACTGTGCCAGGGCTCCTGACAGGTGGTACTAGTTATTTCTAATTACAGCGGCATCTTTTGAAAATGTTGACCAAAGCAAGAGTACTTGATTGCGTATATTACATAGTATGAACCTATTTTTTCAAATGTCAAGCATTTGATATTTGGCATTTCTTAGAGAACTGAGATTAGTGGTTTAATATTTATTTTTTCCATAAATATTATGTATCTGCACTCTTTCAGGCATTGTGTAACTAATAGTTAAATGGGACAGACTCACTGCTAGGGAGTTGATTCTGACTCAATGACTGTAGAGGACAGAATAGAACTGCTCCATAGGGTTTCCAAGATTAAACCTATACTGGAGTGGACGGCTTCCATCATTCTCTTGTGGAGTGGCTGGGAGGTTTGAACTATTAACTGTGTGACTAGCAGCCCAGTGCTTAACCCACAGTGCCACCAGGCTTCATTATGGGATGGTAAAATTATGGTGGGTTCTTATCTAGGAGGACCTTATTGTGCTAGCAGTCATCAAGGCTGTCCAGAGTTGTACCAACTTTGGGGCTCTGGAATAAACTTCTGAATAGTGCATGGTGTTTTCCGTATCTTCATCAGCACGTATTTATGGAATAGGAACAAGGTGCATGTAATGGGATAGGGTCTATGTGTTCGTAATCTAAGTTTGTAACTGTATTTCCTAAGTCAGATTCTTATATTTCATGCTTCTTTCTCATCTTTTTTGTTTCGTCATATTTAGTAAACTCTGCAAAATTCAACCAAGGAGAAAACCACGGGAATTTTTTTGTGTGTGTTAGTCTGGACAAGATTGAGCCCGAGGGACATCAGCATTAGCTAGCTTGGCTTTTTAAACTTTGATCAGTCTTGATTCCTGATCATTGCACCTCATGTACAGCTACGCCAGTGGAAGCGTGGTATTTGCTAAGATATTCAACAAGTTTCAGCATAGCATCCAGACTAAGACAAACAAGGAAGAAAGGTCTGGTGATCTATTTTCTGTAAAATGTTAACTTGGAGGTGCCAGGCTATCAAAAGATACAGCGTCTGGGGTCTTAAAGGCTTGAAGGTAAACAAGCGACCATCTAGCTCAGAAGCAACAAAGCCCACATGGAAGAAGCACACCAGTCTGTGCTATCACAAGGTGTTGAAGGGATCAGGTATCAGGCATCATCAGAACAAAAAATCCTATCTTTATGAATGATGGGGAGTGCGGGGTGGAGACCCAAAGCCCATTTGTAGGCAATTGGACATGGAAGGGTAACAATGAGCAGACGAGCCAGTCAGGGTGCAGTGTAGCAACGATGAAACATACAACTTTCCTCTAGTTCCTAAATGCTTCCTCCCCACCCACTATCATGATCCCAATTCTACTTTACAAATCTGGCTAGACCAGAGGATGTACATTGGTACAGATAGGAACTGGAAACAGGGAATCCAGGATGGATGATCCCTTCAGGACCAGTGGTGAGAGTGGGGATAACCGGGAGCGTGGAGGGAGGGTGGCGTAGAGATGGGAAACCGATTACAAGGATCTACATATAACCTCCTCCCTGGAGGACAGACAACAGAAAAATGGGTGAAGGGAGATGTCGGACAGTGCAAGATACGATAAAATAACAATTTATAAGTTATCAAGGCTTCATGAGGGGAAGGGGAGCAGGGGAGGGAGGGGAAAAAATGAGCTGATGCCAGGGGCTTAAGTGGAGAGCAGATGTTTTGAGAATGATGAGGGCAATGAATGTACAAATGTGCTTTACACACTTGTATGTATGGATTGCGATGAGTTGTATGAGCCCCCAATAAAATAATTTAAAAAAAAAGTTAACTTGGAGTAAGAAAGGAGGTTCAGAAAGGAACCTTTTCTACCTTACTTTCAGAGAATCCCTAATGAGGGAGATTATTTGGCTAATTTTTTTCTCTTGGGATGAGTGGTTGTTACCTGTTATCCTAGCAAATACCCAAGTTTCCATTGACAAGTTAGTAAGCTGTACATGAGATATAATGGCCATTCATGTTTTAGTATCAGATATCTTCTAAGTCAACTCAAATTTTATTTCTGCCACAGAAATGGATGAGGTAGGGGACTCTGACAGGGCGTGTTATAAGAAAGAGTTTGTTGAATGCGGGAAGAAGAGAACGCTGTCTTCTAGTTAATTCCAGTTCACAGCTGCACTCTTAAGGTTTCTGAGGCTGTAAATCTTGAGCAGATAGTCTCATCTTTCCCCCTTGGGAGCTGCTGATGGATTTGAGACACTGACCTTGTGATTAGCAGCCCAATGGTTACCCATTAAGTCACTGGTGTTCTTTAAAAAGGTTATCAAAGCAGCTGTTAACTTTAAATTTTGCTTAGGATCTTGGGAATTACATTCGTTACTCAGAATGTTCTTGATGACAGTGTCTGAAATGAGGTTTCAGAATTTCAGACATTTTCCAGTTCATACTATTCCAACACAGTTTATTTCATTGTTGTCCCTTATTCCTTCAGGATGAGCAAAATGAAGAGAAAGAAGACCCTTCTAGGGGAAAAGTAGGTCAGAGCAGTTCTCTTGGATAAACCTCCTCTTCGTGGTTTTCTCTTTAAGCCTCATTTTTCCTTCATCACATTTTGTATTGTCACGTAGTATGAAGTTGGTTCGCAAAACTTGTTAATTCTTGTGAGAGAGTGAAAGAAAACACTTTTGAAACATGGACCATCATTTGTGTTCAATTTTTTTGCGTTTTTTTTTCTCATGTAAAGCAACATTCTCTTTTTACTGGCATGTTAGCAGCAGCACAGAAGACAGCGGCTGGGTAAGGACGAAGAACAATAACTAATTTTTGATGTTTGACTAGTAGAAGTATTGTCCGTTGACATAGTTCGGCTGTTGCCTGGCAGATAGTAAGTAGATATTGAATATCTTTTTCTTTGCACTTCATAGCTTAAATGTCACAATCAAAAATGTGCAGCACAGGATGAAGGCGTTAAAGTTTGGATACTCTTACGTGCAAAACTCCCAGGTTCCTGTTTTACTACCTAACTAGGATCTCTTATCTTTGAAACAGGCAATTTAGTGGCAGTTGTTCCCTTCCCACTTAGCAATGAGGTTTTCTGTTTCCTTAGTGTCCTTTAGTCGTGGATGTTGCAAACCCGACCACCTAAGGGTCCCTGCTTCAAGTTTTCCCGACCACCAGGTACTTCCCAAGCCCACAGTACAACGGGGAGGAAGATCTCGGATTCATTTGAGGAGCTTGTGAAGCCAGAGGGTCTGTGGAGCCGCTTGTGGGTGGGGTTGGGCGCCGCAGGGGCGGGGCCGGCGAGGTCCCCAGGGGAACGGGTGGAAAGGCAAAGTTGTGAAGAGCCAGGCAGCTATGATTTCACAGGTTTCACGAAGGCTTCGTGTGCGAGGTTGAAGGAATTGGGGTGCTACCCTCCAGCATCAACTTTCTTGAGTCTAGAAGCTTCATTAGGCATTCTTGGGTTGTCGGAACTTGGAAAGGCGGCGGCTTCAGCTCCGGGGGCGGGTCCCCAGGGTCTTGTCGCCGCTCCCGGGCTGTTTGGCCTCCAGGCGTTGGGGGAGGGGCGAGGGTGGTGCTGCTCGCGCCTCCTTTTGCGCCTGCGCGGCAGGCTCCTAGCGGGTAGGAGCGTGTGCGCGGTGACGTGGACGTCTGGTGCGCGCGCAGGCTCTTCAGCTGGAGCGGACACACGGTGTGCAAACCGAACAGAATAACCCGCCCCCCAGCGGGATGTGATGGACTCGGGTTGAGGCCGGCCACGCCCCGCACGGTAACTCGGGCGTGGGTGGAGGGCGTCGTTTAGTACCGGCCCGATTGGAGTTTTTCGAGAGTTTGAAGCTCTTCTCTATTTGAGCGGCGTGAGAAGCGTTCCTCTTGAGAGATCTTCGCACGCTTGGGCCAGGCCAGGCCTTGCGCGGTGCCGCCTTTGGCGCGCGCCTATGGTCCCCTGAGCGAGGCTGCGCATGTCACCTCTCGCGCGTTCTCGGCCTCACTTCCGTGTCGCGCAGCGAACTAACTGGAAACATCGACGCCAGAGAAAGCAGCCACGAGGCGGGCGGGGTGAGAAGCGCCTTTGGCGCGGCCCTGCCCTCGCGTGCGTGGGGTGCTGTACCGCATGGTGCGGTCGCGTGACTTCCAGCTCAGTGCTGGCTCTTGATCGAGAATCCTGCTCATGCGATTTGCATTTTAGAGCTCAGTCGCAGGGTCCCAAAACTCTGAGGGGAGACGGTACTGACGTCGCTTTTCTTAGGAGCTAGTTGCAGCTTTTTGACACCCGTGGCGATGTCTTTTAGCAAATTTCTGAGCACATTGTTTGAGGCAGATTGTGAATGTAATAGAGGAGGATGAAGAGGTGAGTTGTATATAGGAGTGGGAACTTGGTAAACAAAGGGCCAGTGGTTCTTAGGTTCAGAAATGAGGGTGAGGGGAAAACAGGTGGGAAGAGCACGTGTTATTTTATTTTCATCGTGGGGTATCCTGTAGCTTGTTTTTAGGTTTGGGGGCTTTTTGCCTCTATCGGTCTCTCCCTTCAGTGGTAGGTGAGGCCCCAATATAAACAAACAAACAACCCCCTCTCTGGAATTCCTATGACCAAAATCGAGGCATCTGTATGTGTGCGAAGAGTATGGGGGAAGTTAGGGGCTATTTCACTGTGAGATGGTGGAGGAAAGCAAAGCTCTCGCCTAGCCTGGAGCCTGCGTACCTGTCTGTATCTCCTCCCTCTGGCGAGGGTAGGGTCCGGGAGCGGTGAAGGAAGTCTTTGAAAGGAAGAGGTTACTGTGAGTAGAGCAACCAGAGACTCCAAAGAGCACACTCTCCAAAGCTCGCGTCGCCTTAGCAAACACGTGTACTGTGAGGACTCTCGAGCCCACCCGCGCGCTGCTCGTGCGTGTTGCAACGTTCGCCACTTTTTTTTGGCGGAGTCGCTGGCAAGCTCTCTGCTCCGGTTTTTTTGTGTTGGTTGGTTTTTCGGGGGTGGGGGTGTGGGGCGCAAGACGCCGCGGCTTGACTGCCGGGCAAGTGCCAGGGGACAGAATGACGGCTGCTGGGAAGGGGGCTGGCCCCGGCCCCGAGGACCCTATTCTTTAATCTCCTCAGGAACCGAATTTGGCTTGGTCCCGCCAGGCGATCAGCGGATTCCGGTGTGTGGCACGTGATCCGCCGGGACGCCTCTTCCCCGGAAGAGCTTTCCTTGCGGCATTTTTTTCACGTGGTTGTTGGCTGTTGACTCCTGCTGTTGAAAAGCGGCCATTGTGGGCCTTTGGTAGTCGAAGGCGGCTGCTCCTTCCTGGGACATGCCGGAGACCTTTTATATTTCAAGGATATTGGAGCAACCCTAATACTACTTGGTGCTCTAGGGTTGTGCTCCACAGCCACTGTGTGGGTTGAAACAGTTTCACAGGAAACACATGCCCAGGACGTGAGATTGAGTGCCTTGGATAACTTGGTGTACGGACACCAAAGCAGGGTGGCTGCTTGGTGACTGTCCGTTTCTATCATAATTAACAAAAAACAGAAGAACATCTGTCTTTGCCACTGCTGGGAATTTCCTAGCTGTGAGTTGTAATTAAGGGGCCATTTCTAGGAATCAGGAAATGTACACGAATACAGCAGAACGGATGGTATTTAGAGGCAGAGCTACCTAGCCAAGTGTAATTCTGGGCTTAAAACCTGAGGAGTTTCAAATGTTTTGAAATTTACTTTACAGCTTGTTTTCATGAAATGCCTATGATGATGTCTGTTTTCCTCCAAAGTTAATAGTTATTAATAGAAATTACCATTTATTTGATTAGTAAAATTAACCTAGTGATAATTAAGCCCTAATGTCACTTGTTTTTAAGTTTTTTTCATTTTGTAGTCCATATTGGGTAAGTCCTGAGGTTTGAATGAACCCATTTTCTTAAAATGCGAACTTATTTACCTTGATCATGCCATTATAGTGAGGGCTTTTTAATAATATAGGGCACCTTAACAACTGTAACTGTGTTTAATTGGATGAAGTTTAGGTTTTTAAAAAAAACAATTTTGGAAACATTTAGCATGTTAAAAATATTTGTGTTTTTAAAATAGTGGTATTGATTTGGCGTAGCTATAAGATTTATTTACTTATTTTTATTTCTTTATTTATTTTGGCATGATAAACAAATTAGCAAGTTGGGTAACTGTTTTGTGAACTTTTGTATATTGATTGTATGAGAGTTTATTAAAACATTTCCTAAAGAGTTCACGGATGAAAAGACGTTTAGAAATAGCAACGCTTTCTTTTTTAAAAAATGGAACTTGCCTTTTTATTTCCCTGAAAATATTCTTATGGAAGTGTGTTTTTCTATGTGCCTGTCTTTTGGAGACACATTTCAGAAAGTATTTTCCGTTGCATAACTGGAGAAAGGCTAAATGGTGAAAAGCTGAAATTTCAAATTTTTTCGGTGCTTAAGCTATGTGTGTATGTGTGATGAAACTTTAGCCTTCTTTAAAGCTTTTATACTGTAAAATGCAAAGTATTTTTAGATCTTGCTTGAGGGAGATTTATTTATTAAAGAGTAAAACTAAGATACACTTTTTTACATTTGGGTGAAGGTTGTTTCAATACTTGAAAATTGCCTTTGTTTATGTGAGAAACAAGAATATACGGAATTAACTATTCTTTCATTGGAAAATTCAGTACAGTTGCTCGGAAACAGTCATATGCTTAGAGTGACTCTAGAGTAAGAATGTAATTTCTTGGTTTTAAACTAATAGCTAGCAGTCTACATCTCATTAAAATGATTATTTTAGTCATAAATTAGATCTCTCATTTGATCAACTAATGGAATAACTTGATTGGAGGATTTTTAAAAAGACCTTGCACAAGTACTGCTCCAAACTTCTATCTTTCCCCGGTTTGCACATTTTTACATAAAAAAATCTATTAAATGCCCAAGCTCAAAATTGCAGTAGGACAATCTGACATTTTTAGGCAAAGAGGATACTTGAAATATAAGGTTAGTGTAAAATTCACTGTAAATTCAGTCCTGTCATTGTTGAATAAATTGTATTCTTGTCAATGGAATCTTTTGATGTTTAATAAATTAATATCTAAAAGAGTGCTTTTTAAAGCATTGGTTAAAACTTTGCTGTTCTGCTCTGAAAATCAAGATTTTAATGTTATAGGTAACGTTTTAAGAGATTCTGAACGCTTCCTGTACATTAATTTGAGATAGTAAAAAAAAGTCTTCAGTTGCTTCTTGCTTAGTCATATTGAAATACACGTAATAGATACGTTTTACATAGTTGCTCCAAAAAATAATTGGTTATTTATACAGCACATTGCACTTTATGAACTAAATACAGGATTAGGAGTTTGTTGTACTATTTTGAGTTGCATAGCACTGTAGAGATATTGTTATTCTTATGTGTCCTCTAAGCTTTATTATTTTGCCCAAACCAGTTGCTATTGAGTTGATTTCAATTCATAGCAATCCCCATGTATGTCACAGTAGTGTTCTATAAAGTTTTCAATGGCTGAGTCTTTGGAAGTAGATGGAGAAGCCTTTCTTTCCAAACGTGAACCTCCCAACTTTTTGGCTTGCAGTCGAGTATGTTAACTTTGTCCCATTTAAAGTCATCTCTTGTGACTTAATAAGACTGTTTAAAGGAACCTGGGTGGTGCTGTGGGATAAGAGTCCTGGTGCTAACGACCAGGTTAGTCAGTGGTTGAAAACTCACCAGCTACTCTGAGGGAGAAAGATGAGACTCCTCTTTCTGAGACTGCTATTCAGGGTAGCTATGAGTCAGAATTGCCTTGAGGGAAATGGGTTTGCTTTGTTTTTTAAAGTTTGTTTAAATTTTATCAATGTCTGACAGGTGTTACTTAAGCTTGTTAATTAGTGGTAGAAATTCAATTTGGAAGGCTAAAACTTGAGACAATTTTTGAAAAGAACCACCTAAGTTTCATGTCTCTTAAATAACTACAAATCAGGGGAGAATACTACTTCCCCACAATGGACATCAGTACTTCAGTGTTTGGAAGTGAGTTTTCTATTTTTAATTTTAGCCACAAAAATATTTTTGTCTAGGAGACTTGAGAGGGCAGTTCTACTGTCTTCTATATAGGGTTGCTATGAATCAAAATTGATTCATGACTCACAACAACATAGCCCTAATAACAAGCAATCACCAATCTTTTTGGAGTGTTGCTTCTTAAATTATCTGTTATCCTCAGACTTTCGTTGTTGCTGTGCTGTGGAGTTGATTTTAACTCATAGTTATTCCACATGACAGAGTAGAAGTACTCCTGCCCCTGCCCCTGGTCATATAGTCTGTAATCTGTATGGGGAGAACCCTAGTGGCATAGCAGTTATACTTAGGGATGCTAACCACAAGGTCAGCAGTTTGAAACTACCGGCTGCTTCTCTGGAGAAATATGGGGCTTTTTAACCTGGTAACAGACTTTCTACTCCAGTAAAGAGTTATAGTCTGGGAAACTCAACAGAGCAGTTCTACCCTGCCATATAGGGTCACTATGAGTAGGTGGGCATCTAGTCCGTGGTAGCGAAGGTTTGTTTTTGTGATCTTTCTGGTAGCAGATCTCTCCCACAGAGCTACTAAGTGATTTCAAACTGCTTACTTCTTGAATAGCAGGCAAATGCATAACTGTTGTGCCACCAGGACTCCTTATGCTTAAGCTAATTTATGTAAAAATATCTATTAAAAAAACAAAAACAAACTCACTGCCATCAGCTCATAGTGACCCTATAAGACAGGGTAGAACTGCCTAGGTGAGTTTCCAAGACTGGAATTCTTCTCAGGAGTAGAAAGTCTCTTCTTGTTCCCTGGGAGTGGGCTGGTAGTTTTGAACTTAGCTTTGAAGATGTTATTTTGGTCATATGATCAATCTTGGAAGAAGAGGTAAAATTCAAATTAGGGCATTTTACTCCTTCTCAGTAGTTCTTAATGTAAGATAAAATTAGAATTTTTAATTAAAATGCACAAATTGTCAATTTGATAAAGTAAAATTACCCTCTCATATACATGTAGTAATCTTTTTTTGTGATCTTAATTAAGATACAATTCACATAACACAAAACTCACCATTTAAAAGTGTACATGTATAGTAGTTTTTACGTATCATGTTGTGTACCCGTCACCAATATCTAATGCTAGAACGTTGCTATCACCCCCAAGAGAAATCCTGTCTTATGTTAGCAGTTTTTTTTCCCCCAGTTCTTCCTTCCCCCATCTCTTGGCAACCATTAACTTTCTATTTGTGTGGATTTGCCTATTCTGGACATAAAATCTTACACTTTCTGGCCTTTTCCCTTTAACTTAAGAATTAGTTTTAACTTGAATTTTTAAAAGAGGTATGTTCTCAAAAATTTTTAAAGAGGATGTAGTATCTCAGCTACCTGGTTTATCCAGGGTATTTACTATTATTACTAATTTTCTTAGCTTTCCAGCGCTAACCTTAATGTTTACTTATTATTTACATTAAGAAAACATATTTTTAATGCTTCTGGGTCTTTGACTTTTAAAATTAGCATAATTACAAATTTTCTGAACATTTTGAGCTTAAAATATATTGCAGCTAATTTTGTGTCAGTCCCTAAGGAATTTATCATTCTTTTACAGATGCGCGTATTCTACGCTATGGATGTGCCATAATTATTTAATCAGTGTATATTACAGGGTGATTCTGTCAGTCAAACAATGGACTGCTTAATTGGAAGGTTGGAAATTCGCAAAGAAAGATGAGACTTTTTGCTCCAGTAAGAATTTTTATAGCCTTGGAAATCCTATGTAGGGTCACTATGAGTCACAGTGGACTCGATAGCAGTGGGTTTAGTCTTTTCTTTTTTTTTCAGTTGGTTCTCTCCAGTCACATTTGCTCTCACAAATGGCTATGTGTATATATGTAGAAGGAGCCTAGATCAGCAAGGCAAACAGTTCAAAACCACCATCCACTCCTGCTTTCTGCAAGGAAAGATTTATAATTTCAGGAACCCACGGAGGCAGTTTTATTCTGTCCTATAGGGACATTTTGTGTTGGAATCTACCCAGTGGCAGTGAGGGTTTTTTTTGGGGTGGGGTGGGGGGAGGAAGGGGACTAGCTATATAGATGTAAGATAGTCATGGAAGATGCATTCGTACTTTTGATATTATCAAGTAGCTCTTCCTCCTAGAGATTCTCTAATTCTGACTGTCAGCAACTATTTGCATGATAATGTCCTTTTCACCACCAGTCTGAATTTTTTTTTGTTTTTGTAAAGGAATATCACAGAATGGCAAGATGGTTCTAATGTGCATTTTTCTGATTTCAAGTGAGGCTGTGTACATTTTCATTTATTTCCTTTAGCTTTTCTGGGATCTATGTCATGTCTTTGGCCCATTTTAAAATTCAGGCTTTTGATCTTGTTTGAATTGGAGGAGCCATTTTTATATTAAAGAAATGAGCTATTTATGATATAATTTACAAAATAAAATATGCTTTTGCTGGCCAACCATCTGATTAAAAATAATTTTTTTGTGTGTAGATGTTTTTACCAGATTTTAAAAGTTAGAACATACTGCATTTTCAACTTTAAAAATTACGTAAAAATTCAATTAGTTGTCAGTTTTATTTTTTAAAATTAAAAATTTAAATCTTTAATTTATCTGGAATTATTTGCAATATGAGATCTGAAGTATGGACCCAGCTGTGTTTTTCCAGTAAGTTCAATGACATGTTATGGCTTCTTTAGATACACGTGCTGGCAGGATGCCATTTTTCTTATTTATGAACCCATGATAGTTCTATGGTCAATAACTAAATTTGTACCACGATGTTAACATACAAAAATAAAGTTTGCTTATTTTTTTTACCCATCCCTGGAGACCTGTGTAAAGGAGTCTTTTTTTTTTTTTT